CACGTGTCCGTCGTGCTCGTCGGCGCGAGGCGCACGGGCAAGACGCTCATGGCCCAGACCTACGCCCACGGCGTCGCGGCGCTCCGGCCGCCGCCGACGTTGGGCGTCGAGCGCCACGTCGCGGCGATGCCGCGCGAGTTGGGGGGCAACGCGCGGCTCCCCGAGCTCCGGGTCTGGGACACGTCGGGCGACGCGCGCTTCGACGACGCGTCGTCGAATCTCGTGCGGGCGGCGAACGCGATCCTCGTGCTCTACGCGCGCGGCGACGCCGCGTCCTTCGAGTCCGCGGCGAATCGCCTGCTGCGGACAAAGGTGGAGTGCCCGCGCGGCGCGGTGGTCTGCCTCGTCGCGTCGACGCTGGGCCGCGACTCGGAGAACGTTTTAGCCGACGACCCGGACGACGACGACGCGCGCGACCTCGCGGCGTCGACGTCGGCCATGTTCCGCGTCTGCCGCGCGTCCGACCGCGCCGCCGTCGACGCGCTCCTCTCCGACGTGCTCCGCAAGGCGCTCCAGAAGCGCGAGGCGGCGCTGAGGAAGGGCGCGAAGCGGAGCGACGGCGACGACGACGACGCGGCCGCCGCGGCGACGCAGAAGGAGCTCCTGTGCTACGCCATCGCCCTCTTCGTGCTCCTCGTGCTCCAGTCGAATTAAGAGCGGCCCCGCGCGGTCCTAGACGACGCCGAGGGCCCGGACGGGGATGGACCGGGACGGGATCCAGTAGAGCCAGATCCACCCGAAGAAGGCCGGGTACAAAACAAAGAAGATGGCCTTGCGCAAAAGATCGAGCGCGGACGTCTGGCCGCTGTCGCGCGCCAGGGACTTGCGGCGCAGCGTCGCATACTTGGCTTCCGCGGGCTCCTCCGCGTCGCGACCCGCGGGGACCTCGAGCCAGCCGAGGTCGTGCGCGTCGAGCTCGAAGAGCGTCACGAACCAGTTGTCGATGTCCATGATGAACGACAGGCCCGCGAAGGTCGTCAGCACCTGGAGCATGTTCGCGGACCGCACGATGAGCACCGCGCCGAGCGCCGCGTTCGCCAAGCCGATCGCGCAGCCGATGACCGCGAGCAGGAACGCGCACGCGTTCGTGGACAGGCAGCCCGGGTGGGACGCGGCGTACTTCATGACCTTGTAGTCGCGCTTCGTGTCGCCCTGGAGGATCTTGATCGACACCATGACGAACGCGAGGCACCGGCCCTCCATCGAGAGGCCCGGCGCGTCGTCGGACGCGAGGCGCACGAAGTCGTAGTGCGCGCCCTTGCGCGAGAGGAAGCCGTGGAGGTGCAAAACGATGAGGGCCATGACCATGGCCTGGAGCGCGATGGCGCCGGAGCCGACGGCGACGCGCCACGGCCGCGCGGGGCGCGACGAGTAGATCTCCTGGAAGAGGACCTTGTAGGAGTCGCTCGCCTCGCTCGCCCAGTCCGCAGTCATCCACGCCGGCGCCCAGGGCGCGCAGCCGCGGTGGAAATGTGCGCCCAAGAACGTGAGCGACGCGGGCAGCGCAGCGAAGAGCAGATAGCACAGGAGGCAGTTGGCGTAGGCCCGCCCGACGAAGCCGAAGAGCGAGTCCTCCTGGTTGTAGTCGTCGGCTCGCGTCAGCGACCAGAGCGACGTCGACGTCGCGTTCCCGTAGGCATGCAGGAGCGCGGCCTCCGAGCTGTCTCCCATTGCCACGACTCGGATGATGTGGACAACTCGAGGTCTACGTTGTAGGTCAAGTTGAACTTGATGTCGTCGCGAAGCCGACGCGAAGCCGCGGTGCTCCAGTCGAATTAAAGGATCCTGGGTCCCCGCTAGCGGCCGACGGGCTGGGAATTCCGCGCGGAATTCCAGTTGAACGTGTCGCGGAAGCACCAGGAGTCGGCCCCGAGTGACTGCTGGAGGGGCTCGAGGAGCACCTGGTTGCGGCTCACGACGGCGCGGTGCTTCTGGGCCGCGTACTTGCCCGTCTTCCACGCGCGCGTCGCGGTCGTCTGGAACCAGTCCGGGCTGTCGGCGGACGTCGCGGTCTTCATTTTCGGCTGCTTCGGCGGGCGCCGCGTGCGCTTCACGAGGGTCGCGCCGCCAATATCAAAACCGTCGACGGCGGCGATGTGCGCGAAGGCGGGGAACTCGGCGGAGATGGACGTGCCGTGGACCTCGCGGCCGTAGCCGCCCGTCGCGGCCTTCAAGCCCGTCCACGGCGTCGTCGACACGCGGAGCCACGCGGGCGCGATGAGGTCCCGCCCCACGTAGAGCTCCTCGAGGGCCGTGACGCGGTGCTCGAACTCGTGGCGCCGCGCGCCGAAGGTCGCGCCGTCGACGCGGCGCGCGCCCGTCGCCGTCGCCGGGCGGCCGCTCGCCGCCGCCGCGCCCGGCGGCTCCGCGGCGGGCGCGCCGCGCGCGCTCCGCGTCGCGGCGGCCGACGCGGGCCGCCGGCCGCTGCCGAGGGCGCCCTCGCTCGCGCTGCGCCGGCCGCTCGCGAAGCCGGACCGCGCCGAGGCCGGCACGGCGGACTGGGGCCGCGGCGGCCGAGCGCTCGACGGCACGGGCGTCGGCGTCGCGCCGCCGCGGATGACCGCCGGGCTGCTCGTCGTGTTCGTCACGCCGCCCCCGGTCCGCGGCGTGCGGGCGGGCATGGTGGGGCTGCAACGCTTGAGGTGCGACAAAAGAGAGCGCCCACCCTCGGAGCTAACGCGGCCGAAGATGTGTAGTGGAAATGTTTGCGTTTGCGGGGCAACTCGCTTGACAAGCATGGGGCTTCCCGGCGCACGAGCGGCGCCCGAGCCAGCCTAGCGGGGCAAAGCATGGGGCTTCCCGGCGCCCGGGGCTTCCCGGCGCTGGCCTGCGTCGCGGCGGTCGCCGGCGGCGCGGCGCTCTACGCCCTCTCGACGCGGGCGCGGCGCAAGCGGCGGCGCGGCGTCGCGGGCACGCGCCGCTGCCGGAAGCACCGGCTGACGATCGAGTGCGCGGGCGGCGACCTCGCGCTCGACGTCTCCGTCGCGCCGGCCGTCGGGCGCCGCGCCGGCGACGCGCTCGTCGTCTACGTGCTCGACCCGGAGCCCGTGCTCTTCGGCGCCGCGGCCCTTTTTGTTTTTGGGCAGGCGGGCTACTTCGACGGCTGCTGCGGAGCCGAAGACCCGGAGGCGCGCTTCGCGCGCGTGCACGTCGTCGGCGTGGGCCACGCCGCGGAGGCCTTCCGCCTCACGGAGCGGGGCTTCGACCGGCTGCGCCTTCGGGATCTGCGGCGGACTGACTTCCCGCCCTTCGAACACCCGACCGTCGCGCCGGGCCGGAACCCGAACGCGCGCGCGGCGGCCTTCGCGGACGCGCTCGTCGACGTCGTCGCGCCGTTCGCGGAGCGCGACCTCCTCGGCTTGTCGCCCGGCGCGCCCGTGCGGCGCTGCGTCCTCGGCGCGTCCTACTCGGCGGTGCTCGCGCTCCAGGCCGTCCTGCGGCGGCCGCGCCACTTCGAAGACGCGGTTTTAGGAAGCCCGAGCGTCTGCTTCGACCCGGAGATCCTGGACGACGTGCGCGCGGCGAATTTCGCCGGGACGCGGTGCCTCGTCGTCCTCGGCGGCGACGAGGCCGCGGCGGCCGTCGGCAACGTGCACTCGGGCATGGCGCGCTACGCGACGGAGTTGTGCGCGGCGCTCCGGGCCGCGGGCGCGCCGAACGCGCCGCGCGTCGAGCTCGTCCCGGGCGAGGACCACACGTCCGTCAAGCTCGCGCTCGTCAGCAAGGGCCTCGCGTGGTTCGCGCGGAACGCGGCGCGCGCCGAGGCGCTCGCGGACCCCGGCGGCGGCGACGACTCGCCGACGGTCGCCTGGAGCCCGACGCTCCACAAGCTCGCGGCGCCGGCCGACGGCGACTCCGAGGAGGAGTCCGACAACTACGCGTTCTGGCCCCGGTATGCCACGGAGCGGCGCGCGGCGGCCGACGTCGCTCACGGCGACTCCTAAGGCGGCAATGAAACTTAGTACGGCGCCTCGTCGTCGTCGTCGTCGTCGTCGCCGTCCGCGGCGGCCGCGGCGGCCTCGTCCGCCGCCAACAGCCGCTCCTCGTGCGCGACGTCCACGCCGCCGTCCTCGACGGCCGTCGCGCGGCGTCGCTCGCCGGCCTTGCGCTCGAGCGTCGCCCGGATGGCGGCCTCGTCGACGGTCTCGCGCGGCGGCGCCTCGTCGTCGTAGCGCGGGTGGATCGAGGCGTTCGGCGACAATTGGAGCAGCCGCGTCTCGTGGCGCTGGCCCAGGACCTCGTGCTTCGACACGGAGAGCTTGAAGAGCTTCGTCGCATCGTGGCCTTTGCGCAGGAAGCCGCCGTCGCCGTGGGCCACGAGGCCCTCGGCCGCGGCGTACTTGGCTTCGTAGAGCTCGGCGGATTCGAGGCTCCCGAAGGCGCCGAGGACGCGCGCGCCGTGGTCCGTGACCTTCACCGCTTTGTGCGCGCCCTGGGCGACGGCGAGCTCCTGCACGACGTAGACGCAGAGGTGCCCGGGCATGGCGCGCGCGCGGCGCCGATCGGCTGCCCGAACGCTTCAGTTTTGGCTTCACGAATGCATCTTTGGGCAGCCCCTCATCGATCTGTGGCCACGGCGTTTAGAATCGCATCCTCCGAAAGCATGGGCGACTCGGAGGCCGCGCTCCTGCGCGCCTTCGGGAACGCGACGTCGACGTCGCTCTGGTCGCTGACGCGGGCCGACGACTACGACCAGGGGGAGTCGCTCTTCGGCTTCGTCGGGCGGGCCTACGTCAACTGCCTCCTGTGCTACCTGCTCTTCGCCGCGGTGCCCGCGTCGCTCACGTTTTTGGGCGCGTGGTTCCACCGCGGCCGCGCGCCCTGGGCGCCGGCGTGGATGAGCGCGGCCTGGGCGAGCGAGGCGAGCGACTCCTACAAGGTCCTCTTCCAGGAGATCTACAGCAGCCGCCCCGCGCGGCCGTGGCGCGTCGCCGTCGGCTCCGGCGCCATCGCGCTCCAGGCCATGGTCATGGGCCTCATCGTCTTCCACCTCCACGGCTTCTTCTCGCGCAAGGGCGCGCACTACGACTTCGTGCGCCTCGCGTCCGACGACGCGCCCGGCCTCTCGATGGAGGGCCGGTGCCTCGCGTTCGTCATGGTGTCCATCAAGATCCTCCAGGGCGACACGAAGCGCGACTACAAGGTCATGAAGTACGCCGCGTCCCACCCGGGCCGCCTGTCCACGAACGCGTGCGCGTTCCTGCTCGCGGTCATCGGCTGCGCGATCGGCCTCGCGAACGCGGCGCTCGGCGCGGTGCTCATCGTGCGGTCCGCGAACGTGCTCCAGGTGCTGACGTCCTTCGCGGGCCTGTCGTTCATCATGGACATCGACAACTGGTTCGTGACGCTCTTCGAGCTCGACGCGCACGACCTCGGCTGGCTCGAGGTCCCCGCGGCGGCGCGCGACGCAGAGGAGCCCGCGGACGCCAAGTACGCGACGCTGCGCCGCGCGTCCCTGGGCCACGACAGCGGCCGGGCGTCCTCGCTCGGCCTCCTGCGCAAGGCCATCTTCTGGGTGTTGTACCCGGCCTTCTTCGGGTGGATCTGGCTCTACTGGATCCCGTCCCGGTCCATCCCCACGAAGCAGGACCCCGTCTAGCAAAAGGCCCCGAGACCACACGCGAGGTTCGAAACGGACCTGCAGCGTAGATCATCCTCGCATAACGCTATTAGGACAGCCGCCGCCGCTTTCGCGCGCGGAGCGGGGACTCGCCGCCTTCCGCGGGCGCCTCCGGGGGCATGAAGCGCGCGAGCTCGTGGTCGCCGACGTCGGCGCAGTTGGCCGACAGCGGCGGCGGCGCGTCCTCGACCTTCCACCAGGGCCCGACGAAGCCGTCGCGCTTGAAGAAGTCGGCCGCGGCGTCGGAGTCGTCGCGCCACTCGCACGGCGCCATGTTCGCCCGGTGCTCCAGGAGCCGCGCCTGCAGCAGCTCGACGACGTCCGGGTGGTCCGACGCCAGGTTGTTCTGCTCCGAGGCGTCGTCCAAGACGCGGAAGAGGTAGGAGTGGGGGCTCGAGACCTCGAATTTCGAGTTCGCGTCCAATACTAAAACGCCCGCGTCGCGCCGGTTCGCGGACGCGGCGTCGAGCACCTCCAGTTTCACCTCGGCGTCGCGCGTCCTCGGCGTCTTGTACCAGCCCAGGTCGCCGGAATTGGCGATGTACTTCCAGCCGAGCGCGTAGATCGCCGCGACGTCGTAATTTAAAGGCGCGGAGGTGAACGCGAGCGACCCGTCGAGGTAGTCGATGTTCAGCAGCATCTCCTCGCGCGGCGGCGTCGCGTTGACGTCGTCCTTGCGCCCCGTCGCCGCGAGGGCGAGCCACTGGTCCACGCCGTCGAGGCCCGACGAGGAGACGGGGTGCGCCGCGAAGTGCGTCTCCAGCGCGGCGGCCGCCGCGGATTTGGGCGCCGCGGGCTTCTTCGCCGGCGGCGGCGCGGCCTTGGTCGCGGCCGCGGGCTTCGTCGTCTCCTTCTTCTTCGCCGCCTTCGTCGCCGTCGTCGCCTTCTTCTCCTTCTTGGCCTTCTTGCCCTTTTTGGCCTTCTTCGTCTTCGTCTCCGCGGCCGCGTCCTCGTCCGCGGGCTTCTCGACGTAGAGCGACGCGTCGGCCAGCGGCGGCGCCCCCAGCAGCCCGTTGAGCAGCGTCGGCACCCAGTCCGTGACGTGGAAGGGGTGATCGTAGGTCGCGCCGCGCGGGAGGTACTTCGGCGCTCTCACGAACGCCGGCACGCGGACGCCGCCCTCGAACAAATAGCCCTTGGACCCGCGCAGGGGCGCGTTCGAGCCGCCGTGCTCCGGGTTCGCGCCGTTGTCGCTCGCGAAGATGAGGATCGAGTTCGCGTCCATGCGCGCCTCCTCGAGCGCGGCGACGACGTTGCCCACCGCGTCGTCGACGAGGCGGAGCGCGGCCGCGAACTTGCGCCGGTTGCCGTTGGTCACGTTCAGCAGGTCCGGGTGGGTCTCGTAGGTGTCCTCGGGCGCCCAGACCGGCGCGTGGACGGCGTTGAAGGAGAGGAGCAGGAATAAAGGTTTCTCCGCCGCGTCGGCTCGCTTCGAGTGCGCGTCGATCAATTCCTCGGCCTTGCGCCCGAAGAGCTGCGTCGAGTAGGACCCGAACAAGTCCTCGACGCGGTCGTTGTTCTCCCGCAGGTCGAAGTAGCAGCCGTGCTCCGCCGTCACGGCTTTGAGGGAATCGTAGTCGCCGACCTCGAAGCCGCGGTACAAGACGTCCCCCGGCAGCTTGCAGTCCATGGCGTCGATGTGCGTCGCGTAGTACTGGGCCCCGTCCAAACCGCCGAAAAACGAATCGAAGCCCCGCGCCGTCGGCAGGCGCTCCGCCGAGAAGTGGCCCAGGTGCCACTTGCCCACCAAGTGCGACCGGTAGCCGAGTTTCGCCAAATGCTGCGGAAGGATGGAAAACTTCGAGGGCAGGCCCCAGGGCTGCTCGGGGAAGACCTGGCCGTGCTGGAGGCCGAGCCGGTGGGGGCTCAGGCCCGTGAGCAGCGCGCCCCGCGCCGGCGTGCAGGAGAAGGCGCTGTAGTAGCGCGAGAGCGTCACGCCCTCCTTTGCGAGCGCGTCGATGTGCGGCGTCGCCACGGCGCCGTCGGCGTTGCCGTAGCCGACGTCGTCGAAGCCCAGGTCGTCCATCAACGCGAAGACGACGTGCGGGTAGGACGCCGCGTCCGAACCCAGGTCCCGGTCGTCGCCGCGCGGGCTCCGCGCGGGCAGCGCCGCCTCCTCGACCGCCGCCAGCGCCGACGCCGCCAGCGCGGCCGGGTCGGCCCCGCGGCGCAGGACCACGAGCGCACACGTCGCGGCGGCGGCGACCGCGAGGGCCCCGGCGCGCCGCGGCGCCGCGGGCCGCCGCGGCGCCAGCATCGCGCCGTGGATGTACTCCAATTAGAGGGCCGCCGGGGCAGCTCTACCGGCGTCCGACGACCATACGTTTTCATTGAGGTACACGATGGTGCGAACGGTCTGAGAACTCAGGAATTCTCGAAATATATGACCAGTGGTGCCCCGGGGACTATTAGATCTCGAATATATGTCACATGTTTACCCATGGGTCATCGGATAGCTGTTCTAGGCCTTAGAAGTGGCTGGGGGCTGCCCCCTGGGCGCTGGTGTTGCCAGAGGGGCCGCGACGTTGAAGTTCGCCGATTGGAACAAAGCTCCGGGGCATTTTAGAAAGTGCCCAAAGACGGCGGGAGATGCGAGAAGACGGCCGTGCCTTCGAGTTGAACCGGGGACGTTGGTCCTTGCAAACCACTGAAATCGTTGCCTTCAGCTCTATGAGATGCAAACGTCTCTGAAATTCACGAGTCACACTAAGTCTTTCGTTCGCAAAGCGAACCCCACTTTGGTAGAACGCAGCCCGATGCACAAGTGCTCGGCGAGTTGACGCGCGAGGCGCGCGGCATTGGACGCGTTTTGAGCGCGCCGCCCGACGGTCCCGCCCTCGCCCGGCGCCCGGACGACCGCGCGCGCGACCGCCTGGCACTGGCGCGCCCCCCGGGCTGCCCCTAGTTTCGGGCAGCCCTGCGCGGCGCGATGCGACCCTACGGCGCCCCGGGCGGCGACCCCGGCGCCGCGCCCCCGGCGCCGGGCATGCGGCCGCACGCGCAGCCCTGGTCCGGCCCCGAGGAGCCGCCCTTCGCCGACCAGTTCTCCGCCCTGTCGCTCGCGTCGAGTTGGCGGCCGACGGCGGCGGCGGCGCCGCCGCCGCCGCGGCCCGCGCCGGCGGCGGACGTCTGGCGCGCGCCGCCGGCGGCGCACGCGCCGCCGCCGCCCCTGGGCCTCCTCGCGCCGTCCGTGCTCGAGCGGGCCGCCGCCGACGACCCCCGGGACTTTTACGGTTCTTTCGCGCCGCCCGCGGCGGCCGCGGCGCCCCAGCCCGGCGGCGGCGGCGGCGGCGGCGCGCTCAGCGGCGAGGAGGCGTCGCTCGCCGCCTACGTCACGGGCCTGCCCGTGGCCATGCGGCCCTGGGAGCTCGCGGCGGCCTTCCGCGACTGCGGCGCGGCCCGCGCGGAGCTGCTGCCCATCAAGTTCCCGGGCAAGGGCACGCGCAGCGGCCTCGTCGTCTTCGCGACGCCCGAGGGCATCCAGGCCGCCCTCGCGCGGTCCCCGCTCAGCGTCGCCGGCGCGAAGCTCGTCTGCCGCCGCTTCGGCGGCGGGAGGCCCGCGGCGGGCGGCGCGACGATCTCCCGCGACGAGCGCCAGGCGCTGAGCCGCCAGGGCGTCCTCATCTTCGTCGGCTCCATCCCGACGAACGCGACGGACGTCGAGGTCAAGGCCGCCTTCGGCGTCTTCGGCAACGTCGTCCGCTGCTGGTCGTTCCTCACGACGTCCGGCCAGCAGGACCTCCTCTGCGCCTTCGTCGTCTTCGCGGACGTGGCCTCGGCGAATCGCGCCGTCGACAGCCACCGCGCCGGCGGCCGCGTGGCCATCGGCGGGCGCTTCGTCGTCATCGAGCGCCCCTCGGGCTCCGAGGCGCCCGGCGCGGGCCGCGGTGGCGCCGGCGCGCGGCACGACGACCGCTTCCTCCCCTGGCGCCTACGCCGCGCCGGTTTTTGTGTCTTTCGACGTGCCGTCCGCGGGCGCCTCCGTTTTCGACGCGGGCGCTTCGGCCCCGCGTCGCGACCCCGGCGAGAGCCGTCGACCCGTCCGAAACGTCGACGGGAGCTCGAGCGTTGGTCGGGGCGCCCCATCGATGCCGGCGCAGGCTCCGCACGCTCGACGTCTCGGAGGATATCGTCCACCTCTTTGCCGTGTCGCGCGTCACCTTCGAGCAGGTCCCGCGCGCGGGCGTCGCCGCGGGTGATTCGTTCGACGCGGGCACGCCGCGCGCGCGCGTTCCGAGAAAACGCATCCAGAGCGCTCCGAGACATTGATCGCTCGTCCACGAATCGGCCGAAATGGGCGACGCGCGGCCGAGCGCGGCGCCGTCGACGTCGGGCACGTTCGCAGGTCCGGCGCATGTCCGTCGTCGACCTCGGCGACCTCCAGGGCAGGAAAAGGGTGATTCAACGTCGCTTCAACGTGAGTGTTCCGCGCGCGCGCGTTTCGGAAACAGCACCCGCGCTTCGAGAGCGCTCCGAGAGATGATCGCTCGTCCAAAAATCAGCCGAAACGAGCGGAAAACGACCGAGATAGGAGCCTTTGAAGTTGGGAATTTCGCACCCTTGTGCTGCCCAGGCGACCTCGGCGTGCCCTACGACGCCGCGGATCGCGTCGTCCGCGCCGCCGCGTCGACGCCGTCCCTCGAGCCGCAGACGGCGCGGGGGATCCACCCGGCGACGTGCTGCCCCCTCACGGGCCGGGTCATGCGCGACCCCGTCGTCGCCGCGTGCGGCAACTCCTTCGAGCTCGAGGCCATCGCCCACTGGCTCGCGCGCAACGAGACGTCGCCGGTCACGCAGGAGAAGCTCGCGTCCAAGCTCCTCTTCCCCAACGCGGCGCTGCGCAGCATCATCCGCGCGGGCCATCGGCCCTAGAGTCCGCGCGCCGCGTCGACCTCATCTTTCTCGCCTTGTTCTTCTCGCTCCGTCCCGCACATCCGGGAAAAAACCTGTTCGCCGCCGCCGCCGCCCGCCTTCCCGCACCGGCCGGCGCCGGTCGGCGGCGACTCCAAAGTCGCGCCCCGTCGGCGCGCGTCCCGATCGCCGCCGCTTCCGGCGGCGCGACCCACGCGACGCGCCGCTCGACCTCTTTAAATCGCGCTCGATCTCTACTCGTCGCGCTCCCAGGGCGCGTCGTCGCCGTCGTCGCCGTCGTCGTCGGAGCCGAGGCAGCCGCGCTCGTCGACGGCCGCGCGCCGCGCGTCGAGCCCCGCGAGGAGCGGCGCCCCGAAGCGGCGCAGCGCCGCGTCCCGCGCGGCGGCGTGGCTCCGCAGGAGCGCGGCCCGCGGCGCGCCGGCCGCGGCCGCGCGCGCCGCGCGAGCGATCGCGGCGGCGTAGACGAACGGCGCGACGTCGCGGAGGCGCGGCGACGCGGCGAACCATGCCGCGGCGGCGTCGTGGCTCTCGAAGTGCCGCGGCGGCGGCGGCGCCGGCGCGCCGGCGGCGGCGCTCCGGAACCAGAAGCTGCACGCGTAGCGGAACGCGCCGGCCCGCCGCCAGGGCTCGACGGCGTGGAGCACGCGGTCGCTCCGCAGGAGCACGAGGCGGTTCTTGCGCGGCGCGACGCGCCGCGGCCGCCGCAGGAACGGGTAGAGCGCGAGGCGCCCGCCGTCGTCGTCCGAGCGGAACGCGTCGGACACGTAGAGCACGGCCGTGAGCCCGCGCTTCGAGGGCGGGCCGTAGTTGTCGAAGTGGGCCGGCAGCCCGCCGCCGGCCGCCTGCCGCCCGAGCTTGGCCGCGACGTGGCCGTCGAGGCCGAGCGCGGGCGCGGCCGCGCGCGCGTCCGCCGCGACGGCGTCGCCGAACGCGCGGAGCCGCCGGACGAGGCGCGTCGGTGCGGCCCAGTCGTCGACGAGCCACTCGGCGACGCGCGGCTCCGCGTGCCTCTCGCCGTCGTCGGAGCGGAAGGCGTAGGCCTCGTAGGCCGCGCGCGGCGCGTCCTCCGCGAGCTCCGCGAGCGCCGCGGCTCCGAGCACGCCGTCGACGACGGCGTAGCCCGCGGGGCCCGCGCAGGCCGCCGCCGCGCGCCGCACGGCCGCGCCGTCGTACCACGGGGCCGCCGCTGCGGAGGTATCGACGTCGGCGACGTCCGCGTCCGAGGCGTCGGAGGCCTCGGCGACGACGATGTCCGCGTCCGAGGCCGAGTCGTTGGACGCCGGCGTCGCGCGCACGTCGACGGCCGCGACGGCGACGTCCGCGTCCGAGTCCGAGGCCTCGGCGACGACGATGTCCGCGTCGGAGTCCGACTCGTCGGACGCTGCCGCCGCTCGCACGACGGCGGCCATGGCACCACTAAAAGGGCTCCATCGTGCCGCCTTTTTAGAGTTAGGCAAACTTAAACAACATTACCCCCGGCCGTCGCCGCCGCCGCGGCCGCGGAGGCGTCGGCGTGTCGCGCGCCGCGTCGTCCCGTCGCCCGGCCGTTTGAGCGCGGCGAAGACCGCGTCCCCGAAGGCGTCGTAGCCGGGCCGCGCGAGGTGGATGCCGTCCTCGTCCCAGAGGCCGTCCCGGTCGCCGCGGCCGCAGGTCCGGCACGTGAGCGCGTCGAGGTCCACGCGGTCGCGGCCCGGCAGCTTCGCGTTGACCGCGGCCCGCGTCTTCGCGGGGCCGGGCCACCGGTCGCGCGCGAGCTCCGGCAGCGTCACGGAGAGCACGCGCGCGCCCGGGCAGGAGCGCGCCACGGCCGCGCGGAGCTGCGCGACGTGGTCCAGGATGGACGCGGCCGCGTCGCCGCCGAGGTTGTTCGTGCCCGCTAACACGACGACGGCGTCGAAGCACCGGGACGCGAGCAGCGCGCGGAGGCGCGGCACCATGTGGTCCACGCGCTCGCCGGAGACGCCCGCCTCGACGAGCGTGACCCGCTCCCGATGGGCCGCGTCGCAGGGCGCCGCGGCGCGCGACCCGGCCGGAACCTCCGCCGGCGGCGACGTGAGGAACTCGAACGCGACGGTAACGTTCTCCTCCGCGTAGCGCTCGCCGAGCCGCAGCGCGTAGGGGTAGAAGCAGGCGCGCTTGTCGAAGGCTTTGGGGCTCGGCGCGGGCCGCGCGCGGACGTCGCCGCGCTTGTCCCGGTAGGGCGTCGGGGGAGGGTTCGCGTGGGCCCGGCGGAAGCAGCCGTTGCCGAGCAGGCCCTCCGTCAAGCTGTCGCCGAAGAGCAAGACCGACGTGGATCGCTCGCAGCCGGCGGCGGAGCCGGCGGCGGAGCCGGCGGCGGCCGGCGCTGCCAGCGACAGGAGCGCGAGGATGAGCTGCCACAGGCCGCCCATTGCTCTCGGTTTGGGTCAATATAGGAGCACCTCCCAATTGGCACCTCCCTGGAGGTCCGGCCCGTGCACCTTGGGGGAAGCCTATGGAAGTCGCCCCAGGTGAGGCAGCCCTAGCGACGCATGACTAGCGCGGCGGAGGATCCCTGCGGTCCGCGCGGCGCGAGCCGCCCTGGGCCTGCGACGTGACGGACCCGGAGGAGGCGAGCGAGCCCGCCATGCTGGGCCTGAGTTCGACGTCCTTCGTCACCTACAAAGTTAAGACAAGTCCCTACGGCGTCGTGCGACGGCGCTACTCCGACTTCGCGCTCCTCCGCGAGTCGCTGAAGCGCCGCTACGCCGCCGCGGTGCTGCCGCTGCTGCCGCCGGCGCAGTACACGGGGCTCCTCGACGCGGGCCTCAAGTGCCGCCGCGCCGCGCACCTCCGCCGCTTCCTCTCCGCGCTCGGCGAGGACCCCGTGCTCCGGCGCGACGCGCTCCTGCGGCTTTTCGTGTCCTGCGCGTTCTGGGAGGACCTGCGGAAGAGCGCCGACGACGTCGAGGCCGCGGCCGCGCGCATGGATCCCGCGACCGAATTTCCCTGCGACGCGGAGCGCGCGTGGGCCGACCTCCTCGCCGCCTACGCGGCCTGCGACAACGCCCGGGAGGGGGGCGTGGACGCGGAGGCCATCGTCGCCTGCGTCGAGGCGCGCGACGCGCGGCACGCGCGCGCGGCCGCGGCGCTCCGGAGCTACGCGGCGCGATGCCGCGAGGCCGTCGCGGCCGGCGGCGAGCTCGCGGCCGCGCTGCGCGACCTCGAGCCCGACGACGACCTCCTCGCGGCCGCGGCCGCGGACGCGTCCGCGCGGGCCGTCGCCGTCTGCTCCCCCCGCGACCTCGCCGCGCCGCCGGCCGCGGCCGCGGCCGCCGCGGCCGCGGCCGCCGTCGGCGCGCCCGTCTTCGGCGCGCTCGCGGACGCGGCGGACGCCGTCGTCGTCGGGCTCGAGTACGAGAAGGACGCCGCGCGGCGCGCGGCGCTCGACGCGCTCCAGGAGCTCCGGGATCGGAAACCGCCGCCGCCGGGCGACGCGCCGGCCGACGCGGACGGCGCGCGCGTCGCCGCGGCCTGGGGCACGACGCGGTCGCCGGCGCTGTTGCGCCTCGCGGCGGCCCAGAAGGCGGCCGTCCGGGCCGCGCTCGGCGGGCTCGTCGACGCGCTCGGAAAGACCGCCGCGGACCTCGCGGCCGCGGCGGACGCCGCGCGGCCCGTCTTCGAAACACGACCGCCGGTCGACGACGCGCCGGTATCGGTCGACGCCGCGGCGCCGCCCGCGTACGCGCCGTCCGCGCCGCGCGCGTCCGGCGCCGCGCCCGCGGCGTCCGCGCCGCCGCCCGGCGACTCGGACGACGACAACCCGTTCGGCTCTTAAGCGCGCGCGAAAACAAGCCTAGTGGTCGACGTCGCACTCGATCTCGCCCTGGAGGTCCAGGAGCGCGCGGTCCAGGTCCGCGGAGATCTTGGACATGGTCCGCATGAGCCGCGCGGTCTTGCCGCCGGCCGTCGAGATGCGGTGGAAGACGGAGCGGCGCGAGACGGCGTAGTTGATGGTGCCGCCGGCGCCGTCGATGGCGCCGGCGTAGCCCCGGTGCGTCGGCGCGCCCGTGTCCAGGTCGACGCCGTTGTCCTCGTCCTTGAGCACGTCGGGCGACTCGTAGTCGCCCTCGGCGCCCGGCATGAAGGCCGCGGAGATGCCCAGGTCCACGGACGAGTTCGCGTGGAAGGGGAACGCCTTGTTGCAGCGCGCGTCCGGGTAGTACATGCAGGCCAGCGTCGCCTGCGCGGCGAAGACGAGGAAGAGCTCGATGTTCAACACGACGACCGCGCGCTCGTTGTCCTTGAGGAACGCGGCGACGACGATGGACACGGGCTTGGCGACGAGCCAGAGCGTGAAGAAGGCGTTGAACTTCTGGTAGAAGCCGAGCTTGTTCTTGTAGTGTTTTTTCGTCGTGGACGCGGCGTACCAGAACCACACGCACACTAAAGCCCGCAGCGACACGAGGACGAAGCCCGGCGGCGACTCGTAGTGGTAGGCCGACGTCGCCGGGTTGAAGACGTGGAGCCGCCAGAGCTCGAGGCTCACCGTCGTCCACGTCAGCACGGTAACGTAGAGCGCGACGCGCACGCGCCCGTTCGCGCTCAGCTTCCGCCGCACGATGGTCCAGCCCTTGGCCAGCAATACAACCAGCAACACGAGCAGCAGGTCCGCGCCGTGCCAGAGGAAGCGCGCCGTCTGGAGGCACTCCGGCGCGCCCACGCCGTCCCGGCTGAAGACGGTGAAGTGGATCGTGCCCAACGCGCAGCCCAGCGTCTGCACGAAGATGGACCAGACGAGGACGGCGACCGTGTGGTGGAACTTGCGCCGCCGCTTGAGGCGCTCCCGCAGGTGGAGGCACCACAGGCTCAGCGCGACGTTGGCCACCGTGTACGCGATCAGCGTCTCGACGGTCCCGAGGTCGTCCGCGGAGAACTCCTTGTCGTTGTTCTCGGAGCCGTTCGTGAAGTGGAAGGTGTAGTCCAACACCAGCGGGCCCTGGCAGTTGTGGTAGCCCGTCTCGCTCGTGCAGCTGTCGGCGCAGTTCGCGAAGACGACGAAGAACCACGTGTTCGTCTTCGACCGGAGGTACGCCTGTCCTCTAGATTTCAGCACGCGGTTCAGATCGTCGGGCTCGACGGACTGGACGAAGGCGGACGGTTTGGACAAGTCAATAGCCACGGTGGCCTTGGCCTTGCGCTCGGAGCAGGACTCGTCGCCCTTGTAGACGTCGATGAAGTCGTCGAAGCCGTCGTAGTAGAGCAGAATCGCGGGCGTCGCGCCCGTCGGAAAGTCGACCTTGAACTTGAAATACCCGTAGTTGTTCTTGTCGTTGTTCGTCGGCGTCTCCACGCGGTCCGGCGTCGGCACGAAGCAGAACCGGTTCACGAAGTGCCAGGGCGACAGCGTGTCGAGCTCCGCGTTCTCGACCTACAGAGCGGGGGCGGCCATGGCGGCGCGCGGGTCGCGCCGGGCGGGCGGGGGCGCACCTTGAGCGCGGTCGCCGCCGCGGCGACGAGGGCGAGGACCCACCGCCGCCGGGCCATGGCCGACGCGACGCGTCCGGGCAGCCCACCTTCCCCGGCTCCAAACCACGGGCAACCGTCGGCAACGAAATCGGTGAAGCCCGACGTGAAGCCCGTGGGGCACGAGGTTTTTCACGAGGCTTTTTCACGAGGCTAGCATGCGCACGGGACGCCTCGCGCTTTTTGAAACCTCGCGCTCGGGGCTCGTTACAGAGGAAGGGCGCGGCGGCGGCGGCGCGGCGCGACGCAGATGCGGCCGGGGGCGGCGCGGCGGGGCGCCCCGCCGCGCGGAGGTGTGTGCACGGGCGGGCGGCGCGCGGCCGCGCGCCCAGGGGACCGGCCTCTCGGCCTCTCACGCGGGACAACATCGTCGTTTCTTCTTGTCGCCGAGGCCCTCGAGGGTGACCGCCTGGCTCGCGAGCGCGTCCGCCTGGGCCGCGAAAGGGTGCGCGATTCCCAACTTCTCTCTCGGTCGTTTTCCACTCGTTTCGGCTGATTTCTGGACGAGCGACCATCTCTCGGAGCGCTCTCGAAGCGTGGATCCTTTCTCTGGAACGCGCGCGCGCGGAACACTCAAGTTGAAGCGACGTCGAATCACCCTTTCGCGCGGCCCGGGCGTCCGCGGCGCGCGCGTCCGCCTCGGACTGCGCTAAAATCGCGTCCTTCGTCTCCCGCGCGATGGCCGTGTAGCACTCGTCGACGGCGCAGTTCTCCTTGGCCGACGTCTCGAAGAAGGCGACGCCGTACCTAAGACGGGGCGCCGCGGTCGCCGCGGGACGTCCGGCGGCGGGGGCGCGGCGGGCCGCGCTGCTTCGCGAGGGCCTCGCCCTCGGACGTGGAGACGACGCGCTCGGAGCGCCGGTCGCACTTGTTGCCGACAAGGATCAGGCGCACGCGCTCGTCGGCGTTCTCCCGGATCTGGTGGACCCAGTGCTGGATGTTCTCGAAGCTGTCGCGCTCCGTGACGTCGTAGACCAGGACGATGCCGTGCGCGCCCTTGAAGTACGAGACCGTGATCGTGCGGAACCGCTCCTGCCCCGCGGTGTCCCAGATCTGGAGCTTCACCTAGAACGTTCGAGGGTGAGCGCCGCCGTTGTTCTCCCGTCTTCTTCCGGGACGCCGCGTCCGCGCCCGCAGGCCGTCGAGCTCGACCTGCGCGGGGCGGCCGTCAAGGCGCGCGGGGGCGCCGTGGCGGCGCGCGCGCGCGTCGGGGCCGGCGGCGGGAAGAGAGGAGCGCCGCACCTCCTTGATCTTGAAGTCGATGCCAATGGTCGTGATGAAGGTCGGCGAGAAGC